GCGACGACGACGGCGACGGCGACGGCGGCGTCTGCCCCGACGGTGGCGACGACGGCGGCCACGGGGCCTGGGCCCACGGGCGACCTTGCGCCCCGCCCTCGTTCCTGGAGGCCCGCGCCAGATTTGATAAGAGGAGCGATATTTCTGTGCGTGCGCAGTTTGACCCCAGCCGTCTTTTCGCTTTACTAAAGGTCGTTTCTTGCTTTTGTGAAACGTCTTGTTGTCGGATTGTATTGAGCGGCGCGCTTTTGCGAAAACCGCTTCCTCACTTTAGTAACAGAGTTTCTCGCTTCAGTAAAGCCGCTCCCCCGCTTCAGTAAAGCCGCTTACTCGCTGTACTAAAGCTCTCGGCCACCCTTAGTAAATCCTTGGATCTGCAATAATGATGCGGGGCCAGGGCACTGTCGGTTTCGTCTTCCCTGCCAGTTAACCCCGTGATGCATTAGCTCGACTAAGCAGGGTCGCGTTGCATCCGGCCGCGACGATCCCTGGACATGTTTTCGCGAGTTGTCGATGCTCCGCGGCAGGAGAGCCAGGGCGCGATCGCAGGACGTGGCTAGACAATTCGGACGCGCAACAGCACTTGACTAAAAGGCATGTTCCATTTTAGCAAATCGCCATTCAAAGAAATAGGTTCGATTTTTCGTTTCCAGACCCGGTGCCCGCCCGTGGGCGCTCGCGGGCGCCTCGTGCGCGCATCGTGTGCGCTTGGTGGGTGCGCCGAAGTTTCGCCTGGCGTCCGCCTCGTGGGCGCTTCGTGCGCTGCGTGTGCGTGCCGAGGTTTCGCCCGGTGCCCGCCCGTGGGAGCCTCTTTGGGCGCTTCGTGCGCTTGGCGGCAACATGACTGTCGTCAACTTGTTACCACGCAGCGCGCACCAATTGCTTCGACCACCCAGCACGTACCGCAAAGCTTGCGCCACGCAGCCCAGACAACATGGTTTACACCACGTTGCTTACGCACCTCAGCTGGCACCGCACATGTTGTACCATAGCACACACCACATAGAGCGCATGGCATACTTTGAACCGCATCGACCACAACATGTGTATATACCCGTGTATCCATATCTATATTTCTTTACATATGCGTGTGTGCGTGTTTTACCACAGCTTGGAGCACACCGCTTGTTCAAACAAAACTTTCGTGACGATACGTGGCCGAGCAGAATTTCAGGGCCAGGTGCGATGCGTTTGCTGGATTCGTTATCGACGGCTTGGCACAGCAGTTCGGTTTCCAACGTTCGTGTGACACACACACACTTCGCTCCCGGTCGTGATTGTCGTGCCCATCGTGGCCACAGTGGTTGCGTAGAGTTGGTTGTCGCCAGGGACACAATTACGACACATGTTACGGGTCGTACTACTTCTCACGCAGGCTATTCATACGACGTCCATTACTGGTAGTGCTACTTGCGTAGGCATTGCTTGTACGGTCGTTACTACTCATACTGCTGCTGTTGTTATTCGTTTTGCCACTGCGACGTCTCTCTGCTTGCGCGTCGTGTGTGCAAGAGCCTACTGTCTGGGATCCGTTGGGACCCATGCTCTGGAATTTGTTTTGCACGGATTTTCCCGATTGTTGAGCGGTCCCAGATGACCGAAGTGTCGTCAGCTTGCTGTGGCCTTTGGGGTCCGGAGCGCGGCAGGGGAGCATGCGGGCGAAGAGAAGGACCACAGCGGCAGGATAACCAGAAAAGGAGGGCGGGACGAGGGGCATGGAGGGGAAAGGCGGGGGGACGGAAAGGGATGAGGGGAGGGATGGGGGGCGAGGAGGGGGGGCGAGGGCTGGGGGGGAGGGGCGGGGAGGGCAGGTGCGAGGCTGTGGAGGGGCGGAGGCCTCTGCGCAGGTGGGCCTCCCGATGGCCATGCGCCTCGCCATCGCGGCAGCTCCCGGGGCGCACGGCGCGTGCGCCGCACCGCTGGCGGTCGAGGTCGAGGCGGCGCGTTCCGCCCTGTTCCCACCGGAGGCCCACCTGTCTTGCCGCCGGAGGTTTTGGTGGTCCCTTGGCATCGCTCGGACGTGTGCATTGTTTCCTTCGGCGAGGACCATCGAGGAGCATCCTTAATGATTTGGCGAAAAAACAACGCACGAAACCGAAACAAACACAGGGAATGGACGTCCTAGCGATGCCCAGGTCCCCGTCTGGTTCCACACGGCAGGCCACAAGGCAGAGATGCCGAAGGTCCGCGGACGTCTTGGATGCACCGTGCCGCGGTGGCCCCTCCCGAGGCGTCGTCGATGCTCGACCGAGGAATGGTACGGTGCATGGTTCTTCGGCCTGGAGAGGCGAACACATGTGCAGTGTACTGCGGTGGAGCGTGGCCTGAAGGGGGTCCAGACCTTTGTGGGCCCTTGAAACGACAGGGCCGTTTTTTTACCGGTTCCGTTTTGCCGTTTTTGTTGCTGGTTCCGACGCCGTTTGTTCACCGGTTCCGTCGCCGTTTTTTGACCGGTTCCGGCTCCAGTTCCGATCCTGGAGCCGTTTTTGTTGCCGTTTCCGGTCGCCGTTTTGTAGTCGTTTCCACGTTCAAGGGACATTTTTTGGGAAACGGTGAAAAAACGGCCCTGCCGTTTCCGGGGCCCACAAAGGTCCAGACATGGTACCGTCGTACATGTGCGCCGTTCCCGTAGCAGGTTAGCAGATCGGATCAGGTCACGCAGGGGCGGTCTGGCCGACCCCTAGCAAAGCATCTCCTTCTGTGACGCCCCCCTCGACTCGCCCAAAGACGTATGCATGCGGCCGGAGGGAAGCTTGAAAGGCGAGGGTGACGCCAGTGAAGGGGATGGTTTGCTAGGGGTCGGTTAGGCCGCGCCCGAGTCACCCCCCGCCCGTTTCCGCTCTCGGGAGATTCTTCATGGGGGGGGATCCCATGGGGGGATAGGATCCCAGGGGGGGGGGATCCCATGGGATCCCCCCCCGTGGAGAGTCTCCCGACGCTCGCCCTCTCCGCTCCGCTCCGCTCCGTGGTCCTCCGTGCCCCCGTCCCGTCCGCACGTCGCCCTGCTCCCTCGTCCGCCGGCTCCTCTCTTCCCACCCGCCTCTCCTCTGCCCCCTCTCCTCCTATGATCCTCCTCCTTCCCCTCACGTGTTCCTCCTGCTCCTCTGCCCCGCTCTTCCTCCTCCTCCTCCTCCTCCTCCTCCTCGTCCTCCTCCTCCTCCTCCTCCTCTTCCCCTTTCCTTCTGTGTTCCTCCTCGTGCTCTTCCTTCTCCCCCTCGTGAGCTGACGCGGTGCAGCGATGCCGCCGACGGCGACGACGACGTCTGACGGCGGGTGGGGCGCTGATGCTGTTTCGACGCTTTCGGGGAGGGTGCCCGCAGTGCGGCTCCAGAGTCGCGCCTTCCTGTGCACCTGCCCAGGCCTCCCTTCCCTCCCGTTCCCTTCTCTCTGCCCTGCGCTTCCTTCGTGTGTGTTTTCCGTGGCTCCATCGGCCTCTTCCCTCCCGCTCCTCCCCTTTTCTTGCCCGCATGCACCTCCCTCTCCCTTTCGCTCTTTCTCTTTTTTTCGCTCTCTCCTTTTTTTTCTCTCTCTCTCTCTCTCTCTCTCTCTCTCCTTCTCTCTCGCTCTCTCGTTCTTGTTGTGTTGTCTCTCTGCCTCTTTCCCTCTATGGTATATCTCTATCGCTGTGTGTTATGCGTCCTTTCTCCCTTCCAGTCTCTCTGCCTCTCTTCTCTCTCTCTCTCTACGTGTTTTGTGCGCAGACACACACACACACGTGATTACGCATATTCATGATAGAATATAGTATAAATTAATACCGCCCCCCTTGGCCCCGGGTCCCACACCTCCCCGCCACGTCTCGGGAACGCTTCCGGTACCGCTCCCCCGGCCTTTCCGGGGAGCCTCCACAGTGCTCCAGGAGGGCCCAAGACGCCGCCCAGGAGCCCCCAGAATGCAGAAGGATGGCCCAAGACGCTCCCAAGCAGCCCAAGTCAGCCTTCCGACGGCTCTCGAGGCTCCCAGGTAACCTCCAAGAGACCCCAAGAGAGGTCCGAAAGGCGTCCCCGGGCGGCCCGAAGAGGCCAACATCTTTTGTTTTTGTTTCAATGTGTTTTGCTTCTCGCGTTTTCGAGCTTCCAACGGTCCAAGAGCGCCGAAGAGGCTCCCAAGACCGCCCCAAGACCACCCAAGAGAACCGCAGGACGGCCCCAAGACGGGCATGGCTCCAGGACTGCCGAAGAGGCGCCCTCAGGACAGCCCCAGACCACCCCAGAACAGGCCCAAGATGGACCCAAGAGCGGGAACAGGAGGCTTCCAGAGACCTCCGAGAGGCCTTTGGGACCACCCAGAGGCCCCCAACACACCCCCGATCCCTGAGAGGCTCCAAAAAGACCCCGACGAGGCTCCAAGAACAGCCCAAGAGAGCTGCGAGAGCCGTCCCGAGAGAGCCCAAAGAGGGTAAATTCGTTGATTTCCCATTGTTTTCCTAATGTATTTCGCCTTCTCACGTTTTCCCGCTTCATCCCTCGAAGATCGAGGATTTTGAAAAAAGGCAATTCCCAGAATCCCTTTTTTTAAAGTGGGACTCCTACTCGAGGGTCCTGACATCTGGCCGGTACTGCGGCTCCCGTCTTCCGGGGGGAGACCCCAAGACGCCGAAGGACGGCCCATGACGACCCCAAGGAGCCCCCCGAACGCAAAGAACGGCCCAACACGCTCCCGCGCAGCCCGAGACCCTTCCGACGGCTCTCCAGGCCTCCAGGAGGCCTCCAGAAGGCCCGGGGGGTCCGGAAGATCCCACACCCCTGAGGGGCCCGGCTAACAAAACCCGCGAAGCACAAACAAAAAGCAGCGCCGAGGAATTGGAAAACCATGGAAATCCTACAATTATTAGTTTCTCCAAGTTTGGCGCCCGGTCTACTCTTGCACAACAGACCACAATTCAGACTCCCCTCACCTCCCCCAAAAAAAACAGGAAGCCTTTGAGGGCCCCAAATCGTTTTATACCTATAGGAAATTCTAGACGCTTCGATTATCCCCACCAGCCCATCCCGAAACGATGTCCAGGCGAGTTGAGGTGTTCAGGGAAGTGCGGCAGCAAAGAGGAGGACGGCCGAACCGTGCAAAGGAGTGAGGAGGAGAAGGAGGAGGTGGATGGATGGATGGATGAGGGAGTGGGAAGACGGAGGATGAATAGGATGAGGAGGAGGCGGAGGAGGAGGAGGAGGAGGAAGAGAAGGAGTAGGAGCAGGAAGGAGGAACAGGAGGAGGAGGAGGAGGAGGAGGGCAAGCACAAGGGCCAGAGGTCTCTTGGATGCCTCTAGGAGCCTCTTGGAGTATCTCTTTGGCGATTCTTGGGTGCCTCTTGGGACGTTTTGGGGGTCTCTTGGCGATCCTGGGGGGTTATTCGGGGTCTTGGGTGCCTCGGGGGGGGCCTCTTGGGGCCTCTGAGGGTCTTCTTGGGGGCCCTCTGGGGGCCTCTTGGGGGCCTCTTGGGGCCATCTTGGGGCCATCTTGGGACCTCTTGGGGCCTCCTGGGCGCTTCTTTGTGCCATCTTGGAGGAGATCTATCAAAGAAGAGCTGAGCTTTAATTCTAGACGCTTCGCGTATCCCCACCAGCCCGTCCAGAAACGACGCCCAGGCGAGTAGAGGGTCGTCCTGAGGGGCTTTTCGGCGTCTTGGGTGCCTCGGGGGGGGCCTCTGGCCGTTCGGGATCGTCTTTGGGGCCTCCTGGGGGCCTCTTGGGGCCTCTTGGGGCCATCTTGGGGCCTTTGGGGGCCTCCTGGGCGCTTCTTGGGGCCATCTTTGCCCCCTCAGGAGGCCAAAATGGGGCCAAAAGGGTCTCTTGGGGCCTCTTGGGGGTCTCTTGGGGGCCTCCTGGGGGCCTCTTGGACCCGTCTGGGCGCCCTTGAAGGCCCTGCTGGGGCGCTCTTGGGGCAATCTTGGAGGACATCGGTCAAGGAAGTAGGGTTCCTTAATTAGAGCCCCCCCAGGAACTCCAAACATCGTCTCCTGTACCGCTCTGGGACCGCTCTTGGAGCGCTCTTCGGCGCTCTTGGCGCCGTCATGGGGCTTTCTTGGGCCCTTCTTGGAGCTATCTGGAGCCATCTTGGAGCCATCTTGACGCCTCGGATGTGCATCGCAAGCGAAAAAGTGAGAACACCAAAAACATTGATTTCCCTAGGGTTTTGAAGCATGTTGGCCTCTTGGATGCATCCTAATGATGCTCTTGTGGGCACTTGGAACCGTCTTGGAGAGTTCTTGGAACGTCTTGGAACATCATGGGGACCATCTTGAGGCATCTTGCGCTATCTGGAGCCATCTTGGAGGGTATCTTGGGCTCCCTGAGGCCCTCTTGGAGCCGTCTTGGGCCATCTTGGGCGCTCCAACGCGCCGCGGAACCCCCTGTCCAGGTCAGTGGGGAGGGGGTAGGGGGAGGGGTAAACCCCTCCCCGAAGGGGAAGAAGGAGGGGTGGAAGAGGAAACGCTCTAAACCACCGACGCCCAGAGGGCTGGTGGGATTAGCGCTGCCCCCCCAGGAGGCCAAAATGGGGCCAAAACCCTGCTAAAATCAATGATTTTGGGTTCCTCGCCGAGGCTGTTTTGGACGCTCTGACCGCTCCCCGCCCCTCCTGTCCAGGTCAGTGGGGAGGTAGGGGGAGGGGTAAACCCCTCCCCGAAGGGGAAGAGGGAGGGGTGGAAGAGGAAACGCCCTAAACCACCGACGCCCAGAGGGCTGGTGGGATTCATGATTTCTGCGTTTCCGCACTTCCCCTTCTATACGATTCCGAGGCTTGCGCAGGGCCTCCAAGGGAGTCCTTGGACACAAGAAGCGACCACCATGATATTCCATGAGTTAGCCGATCAAGCCTAGCTAGAACTTGAGCGCGCGCGAAGCGCGCGCGATGGTTCTAGTATGCATGTATATACATGTATGTATGTATACATATATATATATATATATATATACATATATGTGTGTGCAGGTGTGAGTGTGTGGTGTGTCAGCCAGCGTGGGCCCAAACAAGTGTTTTTAGTAATGGATGTGCAATCTATATGTTGCAATATACATATATACATATATATACATATATATTCATATATATATATATATACATATGGTGCACGGTGCAGGTGATGCCGTCCAATTCTAGACGATTCGCGTGATTAACCCCACCAGTCCCTCCAGGAACGATGCCGGGGTGAGTTGCCCTGAGCAGGGATGTGGAGGAGCACGCAGTGGAATAGAATGGGCTGGGTAAGACGGTCTACCCCAAGAGGGGGGAGGATAGAGGAGGAATTTGAGGAGCAGAAGCGGGACGGGGAGAAGGAGGAAATGGAAGAGGAGGAGGAGGATGAGGAGGAGGAGGAGGAGGAGGAGGAGGAGGAGGAGGAGGAGGAGGAGGGAGGGGGGAGGGAGACAAGCTAGGTGCGCTCGCACCTCATCTGACATCCGATCCCGTGGAGTCCTTTTGGGGTGCGTTAGGGGTCTCTCGGCAGTCCTGGAGGCCTCTTGGGGTGTCGTGGGTGTTTCTGCGGAGCCTCGTGGGGCATTCTGGGGGGAGGCACCTTGGGGGCCTCTTCGGGGCCTCTTGGGGCCTCCTGGGGCCCTCTGGGGCCGTCTTCGGGCACCCTTGGGAGCTTCACGGTCCTTTTGGGTCCATTTTTGAGGAGATCGATCAAAAGATGGGGCCTCAGAAGGCCAACATGTGGCCACTACCGTAGTGACATCAGTGATTGTGGTGTTCTCGCCGAGGCCTCTTGGGGCGTCTCGTGTGCCTCTGAGGAGCCTCTTGGGACCTCGTGGGGGTCTGTTGGGAGCCTCGTGTGGGTATCAAGTGGGCCTTTGGGGGGCCTCTGGGGCCGTCTTGGGGCACCTCTTGGGGCGGTCTGGACGGTGAGTGCGGCCCTGACGGTGACTTGGCGGCCCCGCCCCCGACGGAACGATGGCGGCCGTGCAGCTCGCGGCAGCCCGACGCCGCCTGCGACCGAGGATCTGGCCACACGACGGGTGACGTCGACAGCGGCGACGAGGCTCCAGACGACGACGCCGTTCTCTTCCCGCCCGCCCGCGGCCCTTCCCGCGACGGCGGCGGCTTCGGCGACGGCGGCCCCGGGGACGGCCCCAGCCAGGGTGCCGCGACGGTGGCCCCAGCCCCAGCGGCGACGACAGGGCGGCCCCTGCATCGCGACCCCGGCCCTGGCGCCCACTTCGCGGTTCCACCTGCGTCGACACGACGGCGGCATTGCAGCCTTCGGCGGCCCGACGCTGACCCTTCCTCCTGCGAGGCGACGGCGGCCCTCCCCAGCCTGCCCCTTGCGGCCGCTCAGCGGCGAGCGCTGCCCCGGCGGCGTGGCGGCGGCTCCGGGGACGCCACGGCGGCGTCTGTGCGGGTGAAGAGGCGGCGGCTCCGGCGACGTGGCGGCGAGCCGGCCCTCGTCAGGGACTCCCCTCCGCCCCCTGCTGGTTCCCTCCGTGGTGGTGGTGGTTTTGGTGGCGTGGTTGGTCGCACCGCCCCGGCCTCAGTCTGTAGGAGGGATTTTCTCTCTTGTGCTGTCCTCCTCCCCGACCGTCGCCGCCTCTGGCGCAGGATCGAGGGGCTCCGCTCGGGCGGGGCACCTCAGGGGCCCCTCGCCGGAGCTGGCCGTTCGATGCCGTCATTTGGCGGCGGAGTCACTGTTTTGTCTTATTTTCTCAGTGGCCAGGACATCGGCATCCTTCTGCTGCGCACCGGGCGCGGCGCCTCGGGGGCCATCTTGGGGCCATCTTGGGGGAGATCGATCGAAAGATGGGGGATTACAAAACCGTTGTAACATCAGTGATTGTGGCACTCTCGCCGAGGCCTCTTGGGGCGTCCGGGGGGCCTGTTGGCGGGGGCCTCTTAGGCGCATTTTGGTTGTCTATGGTGGGCCTCCTGGGGCTTCCTGGGCACCACTTGGGGCTGCCTTGGGGGACGGTCGGGAGCTTCGGTGGCCATCTTGGAGGAGATCGATCATCGATCACAGGAGGGGCCGTACTACAGTAAGGCCCCCCCTGGAGGCAAAAGGGGTGTGACCAACGCCCAGTAATACTCAGGATCCTGGCTTCCTCGTCGTGGCCAAGGAAGACCTTCTGACATCTCGCGACCCCGCCCGTCCAGCCCTAGGTGGGGGCGTAATGGGAGGGAGGGGAAACTCGCTAAACCACTCACGCTTTGAATGGCGGGCTGGATTCAGGTTTTGCAACACATGCTGCGTAATCTATGGCGTGTATTCTACGTGGCGCCACCTATGCGGTGCAGCCTTTATGGTACAAGCGATGTAGTGCAACACGTACATTTGTGTATGTATATAGATATGTATGTATACGTATATGTATATGTATATCTATATATGACAGTATTGTTACGCATCGGGGGAAACATGTGGGTCAGGCATTGCGGTGCAATCTATGTCGTGCAGCATACGTTCTTCCTTCGATGTGGTGCAGTCGATGCGGTGCAATCAGTGTCGTGCAACCTGTGCGGTGCAATTTCTTCTGTGCAATCTAGGGCGGCAGCGAGGCGGTGACGTGGCGCCGACGACGGCAACATAGCGTTAACTCGGGCTTGTCCCGTTACAGGGGGAATATTCAAACATAGTTTAAAAATAGTCCGGGGATGTTTTTGTTCGAGTATTTTAGCCGTTTTAGAATGTTGTTTTAGTATTTGTTATTTGTCGTCGAAAATCCCCCTGTAGGGGGACACGCCTGATTTAAACAGCGGCCAGAGCGCCACCCAGGCCCAGACGGCCAGCGGCGACGAGACGGCCACGGGGCGGCGACTGCGGCAACATAGCTGCCAGAGCGGCACGTTGGCCCCCACGACTGGCGGCGACGAGGCGGCGACGTGGCGGCGACGACGGCAACATGGCCGCCAGAACAGCACGCTGGCTTAGGCGATGGGCGGCGACGAGGCGGCTTGTGTGTTCAGATATGTATGTTTCTTTTTCCCTCTCTCTGTATGTATATTTCCGAGCATGTATGTATGTAGCCCGGTCTCTCTATCTCTCTCTCCCGCTCTCTGCTTATTTCTCTCTCTC